TTATTTTGTGCTGAAGCCTACAGAACAAACATCGGTTATAAAAACCCGATACCGATAATTCCCGATATTACATTTTTTAGTGAATATCGGCCGATATTATCGGACATCCCTAGTTAAAACCGGTAAGAAAGCTGAGATGGGAAAAGGCAGGGGCAACAACAGAAGATTCTGGCAGGATTCATCCTTCAACCAACTGGCATTTGGTCTACTGGTTGCCAAGGAAATTCCAGGTAAGACAAGCTCAGAAACACATATTTCATTTACCCTCAACCCATCTACTGCCAAAGTAGCCTACAAGAAGAAACAGGCACCAGAGATAAGGAGAAATTATGTTAATTAACACAAGCATTTCAATGTCCGTACATGAAGGATTATCTGAATATATTGCTGTCAAAGTGGTTGAAATACCACATTCTGGCAAGCGCAGAAATCTGCTTCAGGCTTGTATGTTTATTGTTATTGTTTTCTGAAGATTTTTCTTTAGTCCAGTTCATCCCACTACCTGGTCTAAAAGGCCTAACAATTCAAAAACAAAAAAGGAATTGACCAATGAGATGAAAGCAAAGTGATTACACAACATGTAAAAAATAATTTCATAACCCATCCAACAATCATGTATTTAAGAACTTCTACACCAGCTTACATAAGGTAAGGATCAGGTAAGGATGGACATTTCTCTTCTTGAATGACAAAAACTAGTATAACACCACTATCACAATATTCTTTGTCCTAAAGTCCATGTGAATACATTTGAAGTTGACAATCTGTCACTGAGGCCTAACTGAGCAGACAGATGTTATGTTGTATTCAAAATATAAGAGCAGTTACAAGGCCTCTGAAACAGTAGACTACTGAAAGTTTACGGCATGTCGGCATGTTAACACCATAACAAGATCTTGATACGGTGTTTCAAGATGGCACCCATACATTCCAATCAAAGTTGCTCACCCGGTGTCTGCAGGACACATTGGCAGGACTGACACTTCCACACCATAATCAGGTCTTTTGATCCATCCACGGTTAAGTTCATTTTAGCTAAGAAATGAGCATAAACGAAATAAAAATAAAAAAACCTTTGTGTTTGCTTAGACAAAAATATTGTAGTTGCCAAAAAAAAAAAAGAAATTTAAGTTTTATTAATTTTAGCGCCCTCTACATTTGTGTTCTCCAAGGGGCATGGCTTTTTGGTTCTGACTAACAATGTCATTACTGGTAATTTGAGCGGTCCAATATCTAGTGTAAAAATGTTTTTTGCAATATGATTTAAATTCCAACAGGTGGTGAGCTGATGTTGTTGTATATCAGTTGCTGTGAGATTTGACAAGCTGATCATTTACCATAACCTAAGTGACAGCTAGCTGGACCCCCTTCTTTCTGTTAGCAAGCTAGGCTAATTAGCTTCCATTTCCCAAGTAAGAAGCTAGTTAGCTTAGCTTGCTGGTTTCCACAACTGAGCACTCACAATATTGAATTTTGTAAAGGGACAGATTTCTTAAATCAATAACTAGTTAATCAACACTGTGAGAAAGCAGGTAAAAACATCTTGCATCAATGTTCGTAGGCGACATGTTTCCTAGCCCCCAAATGTCAGTGTACTGCTGCCAAAAGAACCGCCTGCCCAGAACACAGTTTCCACTAACATGTATCCTTTTCTTGAAAAATGGAAATGCAGTGTCTTTATAGCTTATATTTCCTTACACGAAAAGTGAGAATTCAGTTTCTGTTTGACTGTAACATACAAAAGCTAATTCAATCAGTATGCTAATAAGTTGTTAACAACTATACAGTGATACAATGATAGACCAGATAGTATGTTAGCAAGCTAACAAGCTGAAATTATCTTAACATAAAATCAATCGGATGCATCAGTCACAAACAGATGGCCCAGTTGTACAAAATAAAATCAGTTGACAGCCTGTGTTCCTGAAGATTTCCAACATGGCTGCCAATGGTTGCGTGACACCAGTAAGTTCATTACTTAAGTTTATTACTTACCTCCAAGAATGTCAGAGAGTACAGTGTGGTATTTCATAATGAAGGAATGCTGATGAAGTATTTGTTCCCTTGACAATAAAAAAGTGAGATCATTTCTAGCTCACTCCCATTCACAGTTTGCTAAAGAGTTGGCTTCCTCTTAGCATTTAGAGGTTATGTAAAAGCTGTAAAAGTCCCTATGACAGGAAAAATATTTGCTTCACAGATCACCCTATTTCTAAAAGTATAGCCTGGACTGGAATCTATGAGTGGCATACAACAGTGTGCCACATTGGCATGAGCAACCCTCATCCGAATACGTGGGGGCTGACGTATGAAAATGATTCAAAGTGATTCCTGAATTCTACGGAGCTGAAACACAGTAAATGGTGTAAAAGAAAATGATTTGCTCTTCTTGGAGGCTCGCGTGTTCTTTCAGTACCATGTATTGAAAAATACAGAAAATGTGGAATGTTGGAGCTGCTACAAATTCTGTTAAAAACAAAAATACATAAAGAGCCTAAGCACATAAAGCAGGAAAGGTCTGACAGTCCCCAGCCCTAGTAATGAGCCAGTGTCCATTAATCCATCTGTGTTGAATCTGTCCATCTGTTAATAGTCCTTTCATTATCTTCAGTCTTTTCTAGGTTCTTGTAATATTCATTTGTTCAGCCTAATACAGTAATTATTGCTTGTCTACGCTATGAAGCAAGTGTGCCTCGCTAAATAATGTATTTTTACCAAAAAGTAAAAATTATATTACTTTATCAGGTGAACAGTCGGTGCAAGGAGGAACAACACACAGACACCCATTCAGCCATTACAGCACTACTGCGTCACACACGCCAGGACACTAAAGACACAGGCAGACACATTCACAGACTGAATCACTCGAGCAACATGTTCTTCAGTCCTGAGGCCCAGCTGAACCACCACTACAGATGTGTGTGTTACATGTCACACCGCCGTGTGTCTGGAATTCTCGTTTTCATTTTTGGGCGACGAGGGAATGTTTCTGGTGAATTGGCTGAAGCTGGCCGCCCTACACCTCGCCCTTGGCCCCTCTCCTCCTCTGTCTCCGGCCAAGCCCTGCGTTGGACCTGAGGGTAGAGTACTGTAGCGGCCCGGGATGGGGAGGCCCTGACCCGGGTGGAGCACGTGGCCGCCCGGTCGGAGGATGGTGTCCTTGGAGAAGAGGCTCTGGATGAGCTGGAATTTTTCCTTCTCTTCCCGTAAGAAGACGTCCACCAGGAGCTTCTTCTCCCGTTTGAGCTGCTCCACGATGGTTTTGGGAACGTCGGGGATCACCCAGGCAACCACCAGGCTCAGTAACATCACCAGATTCTGGAGGCGGGAAAAAAGAGGAGAGAGGGAAATGAACTACAACAACAAACTTCCCATTGTGTTTAGAACACCGGCATGCACCTGTCCCTTTCACCTCATCAGGGAGACACGCCTCACAGATTGAAAACTCCCGACCTAAAAACTTGAGAGACATTGTTAAGGAATGTCCTGAATTCTGAAGGACATTTGGTAGACATATGTTAGTGAGGCGTGCAGGCGGACAGACGGAAAGAGCTGTTTATCAAATGAGCTGGTCGCTAACTGACTGAGGCATCTGGTAAAATTCCTGATCATGATGAGTGTACAGCATGATCCACCTAATTAGTAAAGACTGGACCACACGTATGTGTAAAACATACACACATTTACTTTATCTGCCTTTTTATTGTAGGAATCCATTAAAGTCAACTGAAAAACACATGTGAAACCTATTAATGCAAAGCAGTGTGTGTGCTCTTAACTATTCTGCAGAGTAACTTATGTATGTGGAAAAAATGTGTTTGTTTTGTTGGAGACATCTAATTAGACTAATTCCCATATATTGTGTCTCCCTCTGTCTGTAGTTTTGTTTTTAAATTGTCTTTTAACTGTCTGGACCTCAGAAACATGAGCTGATTGAAATTGGCTTATAAACCAAACACACTGAGCTCATACCTGGAACAGTATGACGAAAGCCAGTCTTGCAGCCAGGACACACCAGTACTGTTTGGAGAACATGTACGCGTCTGGAGACCACGGGGGTTCCCTGTAGTCCTTATACCTAGAACCAAGCACACATGAATCCAGCGTGGATGCTAAAATTGGAAGTCAAATTTCAAATGTGTGGTGGATAATGGGTAGTTGAGCATGAGCAGTAACGAGAGCACCACCTATAGAAACAAACTCAATCACTAGATAATCCAAGAAAGGCCCCTCCCACGCTGTTTGACTGTCATTGCTGGGAGATTCAACGCAGAGTCTGAGAATCCATCTCAGACAAACCTTCCTCCTCAGCTATTGTTCATTCATCCATCCTGGGACCCAAGCTGATTTATGTTCACCTTGCCTCATTAAAACACACTATTCCTCCACTCAGCTTGGGACCCAACTCAAAGTGCAATAAACTTTATTGGGATTCCTTTCTTTTGTTTTCTTTGTAGTAAACGGCCTTTATTGTGCTGGCAAAACAAATAGGAGAAAAACTCGAACCACATGTTGAGCGAAGGAAGACTGAGGACACGGAATCAAAGAGAGAGAGAGACGAGAGAGCAGAAGGAGAAAGCAAGAACAAGGGATGGAACAGAGGCAGAGAACATAGAGATAAAGAGCGAGACAGTAAAAGGAACGTATGAGAAAAAGACAGAGAAGATGTTTTTTGTATAGCGGGCTTGTCACCGCACAAGAATTTATTTGACTGGGCAGGTTGAAGTTCTCATCCGGTACACACACACACACACACAGACAGCATGAAACAGCTGTATATCTGTTTTGGTCACCAGAGTAATCTGAAGTCCAATTTCAGTTCAAGGCTTGTATAAGTGGAGGATCATAAATAAAAACATCCTCACACCAGGTTGTTCGTTTATAAAATTCGCTCATTGTATAGATTCGGCCACGTTTTGGTTATGTTTTGTTGTCTCAGCAAAAAAATACACTGCTACATCGCAGAAACTAAATTTCCCCTAATTTGTCGCTGGCAGGCTGCTTTCACGTACAAAGCCAGCTGGGTCGTGACTGATTCAGATCTGGTGCAAGTGTTGCATTAGCAGACTGTGAGAGGCCATAAAAGTGAAAACATGGTGTAGTAATGTAACCTGTGGCGGTCGGACAATTCAGGCGCCATAGCTGCTGCTGCTGCGGCTGGCTGCAGAGCAACAAGATCAGAGAACAACGCAAAATGATGTCAAGTTGGCTGGCCCGTCAACAAAATCTGGCACTTGAAGGAGAAAACTGTTGATGCTTTGTTATTTTCTGTTACTGTCCACTCTCTAAAGAAGGCCAAAAACTAAATAAAAACAGGATTCATTAGAAAAGAGAATCTAGTGGAGCAGCATCTGCTTTCAATAAGTTATTGTGTACATTTGTGTTCAGTAAGTCCTGGTACAAAGCCAAGTTGATGGACAAGTTTGACCTAGCTGTTTCCTGTTGGGTGCAATCACCCTCTTTATACTCGACTGCAGGGATTATTTAGAATGTAACTATTTCAATGCAATGCAGGATTTATTCAAAATCAACAGCCAGCTGAGTCGACATTGGTGCGTGTTGTGAGTCAGTTACACATAATCAAGTTTATCAAAAGCATCTTTACTAAAGGCTGCAACACATTCTTTTTAACATGAATATGAGGTACATAACTCGCCAACTATGTGATTTTAATACGGGTAAAAGTTATACAATGATTTGTTCGCATGTACTGATTGATTGAGCTTTTTTTCTCAACAATGGCCTGATGTCAACCATTGACAGTATATATTAGTGGACAGAGCGTCCGGGTCTGAAAAGTGAATCCAATATGGAAGAGGCGACTCTACTGGCTCTGAAAAAAAGTCTGATTGTATTCAACCTAATGGCAAAATGACCCTGCTACTCACTTGATTTATTAGC